TTGACCAACATTATAATTTTCACAGTCCTTTGAACATGTGTCATAATCGGGATTGGCAAGCTCTTTCTTGGTCCACATTTCCTACAACAAATTAACCTTAGATATACAACGGAGACGTGAAGAATTCCAGAGATAGCGCGGTTGGCCATAAAAAAATTTGCTCAGGTCAGTCACTGTGTTGGAAAATATTGAATCGGGACCAGAGACTATCGGTGACAGTGGATCTTCCAAGTGCTACCTCCAACCTCTTTCCTAAACCTCTGGTCATTAGAAGTTCATCAACCGGATCCATCCGCAACGGTTCCACCCGTAAGTGAGCCGAGAAGGGGGAGGGAACCCCTCAGAATTTATTTTCCCACCTCCCATCAACCAAAATGCAAACTTCATCGAATGCAGTTCCTTCAAAAGTCATAAATATGGCCGCACGGAATCTCCAAACGGAAGAATGACCTGGACCCGCTCCAGCCACGCTTGTCTGTGCTTTCTTGAGCTACTACTCGGGACTGATCAGAGCTATACTTTGAGCTAATCAGAGCTGCATATGCAAAATTGTAGGAACAATACCAGGGACACCATGCAGAGCTGCTATGAAATTTATAGAATTACCGGCCATGAAGTGACAACTCTTCTGTCGAACAGGAGCCTCAAAAAGACTTCCTTGACGACAAACAGCAGATTGAATGGTGGTGGCACTGAGGAAGACCAGGCGATGTATTCCGAATAGATGGCGACTCGAGTGTATTTAAACTCACTTTCCTCGTTTTCCTGAAAGCTTTCCGTAGAGACTTATCGCTTGAAAGAAGTTCCGCCTATTCAAGTGTACTGTATTGAGCTCACCAACACTTCGTCGGCTTTCTTCACCAAGAGTGACACCATCAAGTTGAGTAATGTTATCACAATGATACAGTGATACAGTGTTAATATCATCTGGAAGTGTAGAACTGTGAGATTTCAGGCAAATTAAATCCACAAAGGTAGATGTCACGACAGGATGGGTGGAAGGGCTGGGTAAAGGCCGAGTTCTTGCCTAGCGAATTCGTCGCTTTCGCGCGCAGCAGGTTCCTGTGCCTCTGTTACTTGCAGGAGAAAGAATCTAATGTCACATAACAGCCGGTTAGTCAGAGCTGAGCAAATCATAGCCTCGAGTAGGTTTCCCCAAGAAGGACTACCTCTTCGGGAAGGTAGAGGTATGCGAATCTCCAGCGTTCCACACTTGTCCTGGTGGTATTCAAGGTAGTTACCCAACCACCCTTTCGCCAAAAAAACATCGGTCGGGCAGGACAGTTTGTATATAAATATGCACATATTACACATAAATGCTGAATAGGAAAAGTAGAAATTGGCCGAAAGTTGCACTGGTTCCGGGATTCACCGTGCAACATGTCCCCATATCCAACAAATACCCCATTCCTTCTATTTCTTCCAGAACCATGGCGTCTTTTTACCTCCCTCCCCTCCAAAAAAAGTCACAGTCACAAATAACCCACTCCGCCGTAATCCCTACAGATGGTTGATCCTAGCCCGTAGTTTGTCAGAGATCGCTCCACCCCACTAATGCGCGACTACGTTCATTGAAAAAGTCAGTATGAAGACCTCAGTGGCGAAAGAGGTGATGTAGTGCTCAGTTGGTGCTTGATCTGGTCCAGAGTTTCCATTGACAATTGGATAAAGTGACGGATCCAGGTAGCCGTACACTGCCCAGTACATACTGCGGATCGTTGAGAAGATGCTGAAAAAGAAACCTGAGTTATGGGTTTCGGATGTTGGTAGAAAGAACTGGCTACCTTCGAAAATGCGACCCCATAGCCTGTTCAGTGCCATCTTCTTTGACAACGACGCTGTTCAGATATGGCTGTACGAGTAAATTGACACCGACGGCGAACGACACCATGATCACGCCCATAACCACCAAGTAGTTGTAGATCGTTGATACACATCGCCCAACCGAAATCTTCGATGCAATGGGATAAGTACCGGGTAACCCATTTGGGTAAAAAACCTCAATCATCTTACCACACTTCCACCAATTCCTTTGACAAGTTGGAAAAAGTAAAACACTCTCCATAAGCCAAGTATACAACCGGTACAGAAATAAATGTCGTAGATCAGGAAATAGTCCCATGCTGGCTGTAACAATCAGAATGAGAAAAGCTGAGGATGCCACAATTCTTAGGGGTAGAATCTTACCCAGTGAATCCGGCTCAACTCTTCGAGATCGGGATCCATTGGCATAAGGACGCCACTGATCCAAAGGTGAAAAGCAAGGCAAAACGCGCCGATGAGTAGGAAGTCGAACCTAAAACTGAATTTTCGGGTTACGACTATCCGACACTATCCGTCCAGAAAAAATCAATAGACACTTACCACCGCCACCAAAAACGTTTTGCAGCAGCGTTACGACATCCATGATGGGATAAAAAACCCTGAATGATACATTGGCTGGTCCCCACAGGTCATTGCATAGGCCAAATCGCATTCGAAATGCCACTACGATTCTGGATCGAAGTGAAATGCGTGACGCATCTCAAAACAGGATTATCAGCGCCAGATGTTTAATCCTTTATCCGTACTCT